ATTTTTACAACAGTGTTTACACTCAATAACGATGAAATAAATTATAAATGAGACACTAGTGAAATAGACGAATGCATATTATTCCTATTTTATAACTAAGAAGTGGTGAACGACGCAAGTATTTTGCCGTTGTTTTATCGTCATATAGCGCACCATCATTTGTCTATGGGCACGAAATAAATATAGTCCTAGTGTGGGCAAATAAAGACGTAAGAGTAGTCGATGAAATGTCGTATAGCCATTTAACATATACTGAGGTCACAAATCAGCCAAATTTCAATAACCACTGAAGCTATAAAGCACTGGAAAGCTATTTCATGAAAAATTATGATCAGCGGAGTTCATTAGTGTTGAGTGTGGGGAAGCTGCCTACCGTAGCTAATGAAATATGACTGCGTAATGTTACAAATTAATTGAAGTTAAACATGTTTACTCATGGATGCCAGCTCAGTGGTCAGAAGATTAAGTGCTTACCACGAGACCTAAAGGCCCTGGACTCGAATATCTGTGTTAGAGTCGTGGATGCACACTATTGAGAAACCGCATACTATGACGAGACAGTTGTTCAATTTTTCCTCGATCAATCAACTTATTTTAGGCTGTAGTTTCACCAACCGTCAACGAACCCACAAAAACTCTATAGTGATGTTTGATTCATGTAGATTAGATAGTTGACGCTCAAGAGTTTTGGTAGAGAGACACTTTCAAGCAGTACCGTTAACGCTTATATATTTTTCTTATTAACTTATTTTCTATCCAGTTTTTTACTGATACTGCTTTCGCATTCTAATCCTACTTAATTGCTCACTCACTCTTGCGTCACATAACATATTATCCTTTGACTACCTATTTGAAAGAGGATTCGAGTTAACGATTTAGCTGCAAACAAGTTAAAACTTCACTCAAACATTAATTCCCTCAAGCTACTACACTTTATACCAATATAATGATGAGAAATCAGAGAGTTGAGAAGGAATGAAGTCGAAATAACGATAGTACCGACAATAATTGAAAACGAAACGCTGTGAACATAGTTTAAAAAAAGCGGACGAAATCGGTGGATAAAACTGAAAGTTTACAAAATCAAGAATAGTTATATATATTTGACATAGTGATAGATTTCAAGTCACGTCACTAATAGACTTCAACCATATTTTACAATTATTTACTAGTTCTTGACAATATATGCCAGTATATATCTAATGAACACACAGACTGATATCCTTGCTCATCAAAGCTTCCAACCCAATATTAGTTTTCGTGTATAGGAAACATGTACATTACTAAAAAAGTCAGATGACAACACAATAAAAATGATGCTTAAACAACATTTTCACAAGATAGTTCATTTTCTTTGCAGTTTCTACGAGAAACATTTTGCAAGTTCTAGTTTAGGCGTCCAGACCCATCACTTTCGCTAGCCATCTAAGAGTATTTTTCCACTCCCAAGTAAATTCTTATTATAATATCATTCAATATCAATTTTACACACTATTACTTACATAATACATAAATCAGGCAATATTGTCTGTGAATACTAAAACTAAAGGAAAAATACTAATGAATAGATAGATTGCTGCTATTCGACTAGACATTTCATTTACGAAGTTAGTAGCCCGTTAAATGAAAATACAATTTCACAACAGCTGTGTTCATTATTTATTAAGTAAACTTGTATATTAATAAAAAAGTAAATGTATATTATCTGATTCATTGCACAATCAGCACTCTCTATAAGTAGGTATCTATCTGTCTTTATCTGTTGATATGTGTTATTTATATGTGTACAATAAATAACAACTGTTCATTTATAGTTTTGTTTCAATTTAGTTTTTAGATATTTCAGATAATGGATTGTATATTGTAAAGTGATAATGACAATCATATAATTATTTATGAACACTAAACACCGTACACCAGTTTATTTTTAAAAGAGAAAAATACATCTTTATTGCAAGTCTTTCCAAGTATTCGTCGTATTTAAACAGAAAAAAGAGACCAAATCAGTTAGGGTATTGAAACCATCTGTTATGTTTAAAAAATGATGACATTGCAATTAGGATGATGAATCTAGTAGTATAGACCAAGTTGTGTCCTTATGTTGATTGTATGAATAGAATTCAAAATTTAACCCACTAAACACCCATCTGATACCTCAAGAATGTGATAAAATGAAAGTCCTACTCTATTTAATTCAATCATTCAGTTTATAAGCAAGCCATAAAAAGCGTAATATCACATCAGTCATAATTGTTATTTAATGGCTATTTTGATGCTTAAGGTTTGAGAAAGTCATTGATATCATCTCATGGAAAAAGAGACAACAAATTAAACCCATACTCAGTAGATCAAATAACTAGTTATTTATAATTTCCTCGAAAGCAAGAGTGATGAATGAGTCTGTCCGATTGTAATTGATATCGAGTTGTTATTTGCTATCTCAAATTACTAGTTTGTGGTGTTTTTAGGCTCATTTGAAGGCCCAAACCTTCTGACAGAATTTAAAACTAATCGTCAATAATTTCATGAATTATTGAAATAATTTAGTATAAACACCCCTGATCTTTTTGATAAAATTGGCTATGTATAAAGCCCGTCAATACAGTTTAGCTCTTGCTTCTTGTAATTAAGAGCGCTTTTTGTATCACCTTGGGGATCTTATTAACGTTTATTGACTTTTTGTGGAATAATTCTCATGATCAAAAAGTCTTCAAGCCAGCTTGTAAAACATCTGCATGACAAACATAATATTCTACTGACGTCTCACGAACCTATAACAAACTTTTGGACAAATCTACCATGAATATTTATAAGGCGACTTAATATCTTTGTAAATTGACACAGATGTCTTAAAAATACTACCGGCATCTACTGAGATCGCCTGGTAAGTAATGGGGGGGGTAAACATATGGTATGAGGGAATGATGGTAAATCAGTTGATGGGATTGGGAATCTTCATCAGCTAAGATAGTTTTGCCACGTGTTATGTATGCCTGAGCACCGATCACCAAAACGCCTAATGCTGACTAGTGCGGGGATGGTTGGAAAAAAATAAAGGGGGCCAGACCAAAACGTGACACCACTCCTTGAAGTCACTAACTTCCGGCCTGATCCATGTTGGTAGATGCATACTACATATTTGAGGTCCGCGCGACCATCATAATCAGTGGTTGAAGACTCTGAGTCACATGGCTCAGAATCGATCACAGTATCATAAGTGTATATACTCTTTATCTCCCCTTAAACCGTGAGATTAAAATTACTTTACACCTTTCTTTATACGAACTGATCCTTTCTTCCTGTATTGTGTCTTTATATGCAATCTTTCTTTTATATATTACTACCATTGAAGAAACTAATTCTATGAATTTGGTGTTTATTTTGTTGTGCTAATGAGGTATGACAACGTGGACCGATACATACGTGTGCCTGGTCCTACATTGTTACTGGCTGACTGAATGAAATTGACTTCATTATTGAATCACACTTTTGACTAAAAAATTATAAGGAGTAATCTCTTAGTTTATTTATTTGAGCGACAAATAAAGTAAAGTTTGATCTTTGACACTACTTTCATGTAAAATGCAGACAAACGACAGTTGCCGCTCATAACCGAGTTATCTTGAATGTTAAAAAACCCTATTTTTTAAATGATGCCTTAATTGCTTGCATTGCTAATACTAAAACTGATACACAGATTAATGTAAGCTTACAAATACCAGAATCTTTTAAATATTATCGGTCACAGAACACTTTATTCGAACAATTCGAAACAAAATAACTTGTTAGAATGAAAAAAAACTATTCTATTTTATGATGATCATTGATTGAAAACACTTATTTAATATGTGAACAAATCATAAAGCATTATAAGTAAATAAGAAGGGTTCAAATGCATTAGCATATTCATGGACACCTAATGTTGTCTAAGTACTCAAATTGCAGAACAATCATTACAATAGTTACTTTGCAGCTAAACGACATTATTAGCATTAATTCATGTGAATTATACATAAGAATAGGAATAAAATCTCTCTTATCATATCTAATAATAGGACACGTTTACTAAATTGATGTATTAGGCAATGAATTCATCAGGCAGTATTCAAAGTAATTTTTATACACAGTAAAATAGACACCACCTCTAAGGAAATATGATCGGATATAAACGGATACAATTATTTTCAGCCATACTTCTATTTGGAAAAATAACACACGATGCTAATTTTTGCACAAATTGTAGTCACGTCAGTAAATACAGATTTATCAGAACTTTCTGTTACTTTTGAAGTCAAACTTACTGTAAGGCCAAGAGAAGTAATTTTAGCTTGTAGTAACTTGTAGTATGTTTGATTTAAAATAGCTTACTGACACTTTACTTAAAGACTGTTAGTGATACGGATTTACTAATCAACAGTCCCGTGTTGTATACCTCGGTTTCAAATATCCATGGTCAGTAATAGGAAAACTTTTCAGGAATATGGTCTAAAGCTTTAAAGAAAACCCGTAAGTTCTCTTAAAATGTTTGATTTTTCATCAAATTAGACAAACCTTTGATTATTTCCCAATATATTTTCACACTACAGCTTACTTTAAGTGTTTCCACCGTATTAATATGTGGTCTAAGCATTAAGCTGACTGATTATAATGAGTAAACTTTCTACCGATTGATAGAAGTCATTTTCAAAAGCACAAAGGTTTAAGAAAATAGACTCTTACATTGGCCATGATACCTCTAAAATATTTGCTGACAAGGTTTTGATATAGCTTAACATTAAAAGAATAGTGACTGAGTTTTAACCGGAAAAGAATTCCTCAAAGTCAAACCGTTGCCCCGTGTGAAAAGTAATACTCTTGGAAAACTAATGCAAACCTTTACTCTTGTATAAAATAACCTAGAGATATTCGTCATGACTTATTACACCAAATAAACGATAAATTTCCTACATGCCGCAAGAAAAAGAAGGATTAACATGGTACTAAATCAAGAGAAAACTTACGTGCAGCAAGGAGGAAGTGGACTTCTGGAACCTTAAGAGAGCCATTTCAGCTAGCTCTCTAATCAAAATGCTCCCGTTCCCACAAGGGACAACAACTTTAACATCATCAAAGCACACAGTTACTTTCATTATTACCGATAACTTGAACTCTTAAAATTTATCGATCACATTTATCAAGAATGATGCACGCGTTCGTAATTTTAAGATCTCAATCTTTAAAGTAGTGTGCTTTACATATGTCTTTATGAAAGTAATGCTCAATTCATTGTGAAATTGTGTGACTGTCTTCAACAAAGAAGCATCTGGTCAATTTATCTCATCAGAGGAAAACAAAGCCAAACGATAAATGTGTTTACTTCCAGTGTTTTATGTACTAAAAGTCAGAGATATTTGTAATTGTCCCTCAAATCATCTAACAAATGAGAATACATCTATAGGCAACGGTAATAAGTAACGGCCTAACGAGTTCAACGATGAAATTTGCTGTTGATGCATTTAAAGCATCTAGAGCAAAGTTGGAGGCTTAAAACATTTATCAATAAAGGTCATTCGGTTCTTAGATCAAATTGTAAATATAAAGATGCGATGGTTTCAAAGTACGTTTTGACTAGAAATAACTACAATATGGCATCAGCAACAGATTACTATGGGAGAGAAAAAACCAACTTCTAGCAGAATAAATTAAGAAAGAGTGGTGGAATTGAATAGAACATGCATCACGAAAAACATCAAACTGCATTACAAGGCGAACCCTAACTTTGGATCCTGAAGGGAAACAGAAAAGTGGAAAACCAAGGAACACACTGCGTCGGGAATCGAAAGCAAACACGGAGAGGATGAACGACGACTGGAAACAACTGGGAAGGATTTTACAAGACAGCGTTCAATGGATAGTACTGGTGAGCGGCCTACGCTCCTTCACGATGAGTAGCAGGCGTAAATAAGTAAGAAATAAGTAACGGCACATTAAGGGATTAGTAGTGTCTATCTCATTTGTGATAGCTTTGTTTACATTTACCTAAACATATAACTCAATCCTTCAACCTTAAAAGCGATAAATACTCTCTGAATGTGAACACAAGTATACATTTGTGCAAGTCCTATAGTTTTACAATAATATGGAGGAGCTGAAAACGATAAAATGAGAAGCGTTGCAAGAAAATTTTTTCCAAGTCTCAGTTATTTCCTCGTGTTATGTCTTCTGATGTGAATGGTTGAACTGAGGGCTATTCTTTATGGACAACATCATCGGGAATATAAAGGACACTATTAAATAAATATTCAAGAGTGGTACTTGACCTACGGTGAAGAGGGCTATGCATGATGAATATATATATGGGTTCTGAGTTCATAAACATGCTTGTTAAGCTATTTACGTATTTCGCGTCTCCTTTATTTCCATTTCCTTAGTTTCTTCCCTTCCTTCATCAAAATCAATTCAACATTCTTCTCAATTACACAGAACCTGATTAGCTACTATTCTATTATTAATATTTTATTTTCTCTTTCATTTCTCAAATAAGGCAAATATAATGCTAACATTGTTGAAACTTGTGTATTATTGCATATTTGAAGGAACCAAAAATGGTTTCTTCACAACATTTATGCACCCATAGAATGTTTGTGAATAACAACAACAATTATTATCATTATTATCGAGAATTTCGAATTGGAGTTTAGATCTCAGCACTTTTTCTATTGTAAGCAGGATATCTCCACATGGTACCTCAGGATAGATAACAACTTCATGGTTAAAGGGGTTGCTTGTTTCTTTTACCATGAATCCACCTTTAGTATCTCATTGTGGTTTCTCTACAACCACCAAGACTCTGGCGGGTATCGTTACAGGAAGAACTGAAAGTGTTTGGCTGATTACTAACCATTACTTTGACCATCACTAATTTCACTAGGTTTTTGACACATTTGTTTTATTCAAATTTTTTAGACTTGTTTGTTTATGACTTGACCCTATACACCCTCCATTTCACACTGTTTCTCTTTGAACATGGCATAAGATGTATTTTCGTGAACATTTACGTGTTATTTTGCTATTAATTGGAATGGTTAAAACTAGGTATCGAAGTTAATAACCGCGTGTAAACATTTATTTTTACAGCATAAAGGCTTACTTAAATGTCTTCTATGGTAAATTACTGAACTATATGGCTGAATGACGATACTATTCTGAAGATAATATGTTGATGAACATGTGGGGAGTAGTGTAACGTCGTGTACTACATTACACCTACATAGCTTATTCTAGTTTCTGAACAAGCCAATTCACCTATAACGTTATGAGTCATATTTTGATCATATTAATTATTCCCTTATTGACCTTGACTATTTTTTTTATATGAGCGTATGTGTATGCACACTTCTTATCCTACCTATCACATGTCTGTCATTCATTTTAGCCTGACTATAAATGTTGATTAGTGCTTGCTTAAAACAAGTTGGCTTCCCAGCCATCTCCAATACGCATTAATTTAGCTTCACTCTCGAGTTGGCTTCCCAGCCATCTCCACTCTGCGTCATCTTTCCTTCGCTTGCTTACAGTTGCTCATGTGCTTACTTTCTGGTCTGCATCGATTATCAATAAAAATGTAGTTGCCGCTTCCCTTTGCCTTCTGATATTATACACCTGTAAGATTGGTATTAATAACGGTTATCGAAGCGAACTATGATCGAAGCACGGCACTACAAACATCAGGCAGATTATTGCCTGCGGAAGATTTTCTCTGTTAAAGATTCCCAACATTTTAGCGTTGAAATACACACAGTTGCTTACAAAACTTAAGGTGGCGAAATTGCCGGGGATCATTTGTTGCATGTTCTGTGTTCACTGGCCAAAAATACAACTTGTCCCGAAAACGAAATAACATAAGTGATAGATGTTGCGACACAGGCTTTCTCATATGATACAGGAGATAAATAAGCTTACATGAGAATCTTAGGAAAGATTGAGCTTAATTAATTTCAAGTGTATTATTGAATATCCGTATATGTCTTCATTACAGTTACTAAAGGGTTTGTCTTTAAATTGCCTTTTACTGTATATTTTCTTTTCAGATTGCTCCATAAGTGCTTACCGACTGAGTAAATGTTTTCGCTCTATGTCTATACATTACCTACATTTCACATGACATTATAAGCTCTGACACTGTACACTCTCACGTTTGACCATGGCATTCTTTTGTCTACTCTGAGAATAGGAAATGTTTTAAAATTTCGTTTGCTACATATAATACTAACGTTTTTCTCTGTTTGTGGAACACTACCAATGAAAGCCTGAAATATACGTGATGAACACATTAACAACCCAGTTCCAATTGAAAGGAATATGGAGACGTAAATGGTTCCTGAAAAATGCTTATGTATTTTCGTTATATTTTATTATACAGTCTCATTTATAGCACATCAGTCTTTTGGTTATGGCGATGCCTATATATAGCATTTATCCTCGAAAGTGTTGAAACTATACTACATCGATAATGTTTATAAGCTGTGATTGGGTATTCACATTATATTGTCATCTACTTAGTTCCATGTGGAAGGCTTATACCAGCTACGTGTTAGTAGCCGCTTTAAGGAAGAGTGCGCTATTTTTGAGACGAAGTTCTGTCATATTGGTTGTCTATGTACTAGAATAATAAGGCTAAATTAACTGAGTAGAAACTAGAATACTAATGTTCGTGAATGTATATGTAAGTACTAGAATTAACAAGGATGTACGGCAGTAATAGACAATTAGCGTGTAATAACACTAAGTAAACAAAAGTGGACTAAGATAATAGTAGTGTTTGGATAACATTATAATTAGTCCTCTTATAAAATTGATTGGATTGACACTGACATTTAGAATCACCATCAATTGTACTACAATGGAACTAACAAGTTGGATCACAGTAGCGCACTTGACATACCCATTTTACACACTCAGAAAGATACTCTATACGAAAATGAGTATACGATCATATACATTTGACATGTATGAACTGAATGCCATAGGTCCTCTAATATCAAAGTTTAATTCTTAACATATTTTTCACTGTACAACGCGTAAAACCATAATTTATGTAAAAGAAGTCTGCTGTTTCATGCTTTATCTTCTCTAGAAAGTGCAATATGCTGATGCAACTTTATATGTTACATCTGCTTAACAGACGTTAACAATAGTTATTATGTCCTACAGACCGCAAATTATCACTTGACGAAATCGCCAATTGGAACACCAACTTATATGACTTTAGCAAAGTGTCAAATCAATAACGTTTTAACCAGTACAAGAAGCCTGGAGTCAACTTTAAGTCTTTATTGGTTCTTGCCTTGCACTACCCTAGAACACAACCTCAGCTCCCACTGTATGTACCATGTATTTTAGACACACTTAGTTCATACACAATCAAATCAGAACGCATAGCACCATAAAATGGAAAATAACAACCATACAAAATCGGTTCAAAGTGCCTGTGAGTGTGAAAGACTGCAACTAATAGACCGTTAATAACTCCAGGATAGTAAATCGTACGACAGTAATCAGTAAGTCAAATGAAAGCTTATAATAAGAAAAATATAATTGTGTATAAATCAGTTGCCTAATAGCTATACGATAAGAACATGTAAAATAGCAGTCCATAAATAGTTCCCAAAAGTTACACATAAGATAGTCTTCTGAAGAGGACAAAGACTTTGATACATATGGCTATATGTCGATTGACGTTTCCTAGTACATATAGGTCTCCTTAAGTTAAACATTCAATAAGGTTGAGCAAGCCCCCTATCACTCCACCGATCCGAGGCGCTTCACATACGAAACGACCGCCTTGAGACGAGCCGCTGGAGGTCGCGAAGACGAAAATGCATCTGTTTCAATTACAAGCTAGCTTCACCCAGCGACTTTGCTTTGGTATTTTGAACGTTTTGTTCAGAAAACCAGAAAATCAATGGACTGTTGTGTAATTCTTATAGTTATTACTAGAACAGTATGATTGCGTTGATTTCTTTGGTATGGGGAGTTGAATTTGGCCCCCGTACGCACTCGAACTATCGTCCTTCCGAGTGCTGAATAACGCAGTTGACCAGTAGACAATACTGATCTGTAGTAGAAGCGACTGCTATATCTATTTACATTGGTCGACTATTAGCGACACTCGTGACCAATAGAACCTGCGCACATGCAAAGTGCAAACCAAGTAGGTTCCTAGGTGACTTTAGGAAATATAGCCTCATGATAACATGAATACTTACATCAAGCCAATCAAAGGTTAATCTGTAAACTCCGTATATGTCACTAACCCTGAGGAACCTATTCGATCCTTGTACTCTCAGTATTTTTGTTTTGCCTTTTTCTCCTTAATTATATGTTCTAATATGCCGGGTCAGCAAATACTTTCTGTGCCCGTGGTTACGAACCTGGTCATGGAAGGCGGTAATCACAGACTCTAGGTGACATATTTGATCACGTTTGATGACGAATTCAATTTC